CAGGCATCTCAACCTGCTGCTGTATCCTTTAGGACTTCCCCCATTTCCTTCTCTATAAACTGGGAGAATAACGGGCCATACCTGCTAGAGGTTCAGTAAAGATGAAATAACACAATGCACATAAAGCACCAAGCAGATGCCAGGTGTGTAAGACATGCTTTATCTACCTGGACACAGTCATTATCAGCGTTACTCACCATGAAGTTCCTTCACTCTAAACTCACATATATTTTTCAGAATAAGCTAAGCTGTCTTTAAAAACTGTTTCTCAAACTTGTTAGCAACACTACGAAAGAAGGAATTTCAACATTATCTTCTATTCTGATTCATAAAACACCAGGAAAGCATACGGCTGTATATGAACATTAAATAATATTGTGTTCTGCTCTGCTTACCAAATTAAATCAAGTTCCAAACGCAGCTTATGCAGAGTGAATATGGTTGCCTATAAGAGGCAAACACATTTGGTGTTTAAATTTGTGTTTTCTATTATATAAAATTTTGTAGAATGATGAAACAATGGAAGAGTGGAAATAAAACAGAATATGCATGAAAATATTTTTAAAATACTTTCTTCCTTATATATAAAAACAACATAGATTAGTGCTTCCACTATTTATTTACTAGCTGTGTGAATTAATCAAGTTACTTAAATTCTCTCTGACTCACTTTCTTGATCCGTGAAAAGTACATAATAATGATACTTACCTCACAGGTTTGTGATGAGACAAATTAATTGATGAATAAAATACACAGAATAGTGCTCGCGCAGAGTAAGTGCTTGATGTTAGCTATCATTATCATTTCTGTGTTAACCTTTCCACAGGTATATTATAACACAAATATAAATTGGTTATTTTACAGCATCATTCCTCCCCCTCCTCCCAGCTTTGTCAACAAAAAAAGGATGTGGCCAAAATGAAAGTGGGTATTGGAGAAATTATGAGGATACCTCATTTACTTTCACAAGTCTATCTAGGTGAGAATTGAAAACAAAGAAAATGTAGCCTCTAAATTATTGAAATAGCTATTTGTAAAATGCTTGTCTTTATTCAGACCACATTACTCTTATTTTACAGACGTTTCTAAAACAACTCTCTGTTTCAAGGCTTTCAACCTACAGCTAATAAATGCAGGTTGATTTTAAGCACTCCACATTCTAGGAGCCGAGCCAGAGACCTTACGTGGGCTATTTCATTGAATCTCTGCAAATCACTATGAGGAAGTGTATTAGTTTTCTATTGCTGTAACCAATGACCACAAATTTAGTGGCTTAAACCCATATAAATTTCTTTTCTTTTCTTTTTTTTTGAGGAAGATTAGCCCTGAGCTAACTACTGCCAATCCTCCTCTTTTTGCTGAGGAAGCCTGGCCCTGAGCTAACATCCGTGCCCATCTTCCTCTACTTTATATGTGGGATGCCTACCACAGCATGGCTTTTGCCAAGCAGTGCCATGTCCACACCCAGGATCCAAACCGGCGAACTGTGGGCGGCTGAGAAGCGGAACGTTCGAACTTAACAGCTGCGCCACCGAGCCGGGCCCTAAATTAATTTTCTTACAGCTCTGGATGTCACAAGTCCACAATCAGTTTTACTGGACTAAAATCAAGGTGCTGGCAGGGCTGCATTCCTTCTGGTGGTTCCAGCAGTGAATCTGGTTCCTTTCCTTTTCCAACTTCTAGAAATCGGCTCTTTTCTTCAGCATGGCCCCTTCCTCCATCCTCAAGGCCCCTCATTCCAACTCTGCTTCCATCCTTGCATCTTCTCTCTCTGACTCTAATCCTTCTGCCTCCCATTATAAAGATCTCTCCATTACGTTGGGCCCACCAGGATAATCTACTCACCCTCAAATCCTTAACTTCATCACATGTGCACAATCCTTTTTAACATGTAAAGTAACATATTCACAGATTCGGGGATAAGACATAACATCTATTGGGTTATTTTTCAGCCTACCACAGGTAGATAATATTCTATTCATTTTGCAATGAGAAAAAATGTAAAAATAATTAACTCCGTTAATACATTGAGAAACAAAAATTCAGAGAGGTCGACTAGCTTAATTCAAACTCACAAAACCAAAAAGTGAGCATGAACATACTATGTAGGTCCTTCTGACCCTAATGCTGTTTCCCAAAGCATTACACAATTCTGCCCCCAGAGTAGGAAAAAAGATGAAGGAAAGACTCCCTCCTTAAGGGTAGATTTTTTATTTTCCTTATGACTTAAAAATATTAATTAAATAGGTTTATTGAATGGCTACTCTGTATAAGACCCAATTTTATGTGTTGAGAAGTATGAATGAGACCCAGTCGGTCCCCAGATAATCCCATATATTCCCATGTATTTAAATGGCTATCACTCCTAAACCTAAATCTATAGTCCCAACCAAATTCAACTACCTGATTGACAGTCCAATTTCACATTTTATAAACTTATCCAATTTGCCATGTCTAGAACTGAACTCCTGATTTTTCTCTACAGATAAGTTCTTCAGCCTTCTCCACCTCAGGAGATGGCCCCACCACACTCCCCTCCCCCATTGCTCAGAGCTAATCAACCATCAAATGCCTTAAATTTGTCTCAAAAATATATCTTAATTGCATTTCCTTCTCCTTATTTTCATTATCCCCAGATTTCTAACTGGTATCTTCATGTCCATCTTGCATTGCCTCAATTTAATCTGCATACATAAACTGGCATGATCTCTTTAGAGCATAAATTGGTTTATGTCACTTCCAAGGTAAAATACTTCAATAACTACCTACCGCATTTATAACAAAATCCAAACTCCCATGCTGTACAGGGCTCCCACGTACCAGGCTCTGCTGTCCTGATGTAACTAGCAATGGAGCCTCCTTTCACTCCTAAAATTGTCCCATTTTGATGATAAATTACATGGTCACTATATCTATAGGACTCTGTGTAATCTTTCCTCCTCCTAAATTTTCTGTTCATGGCCAAAGTCTTCTCAATCAAGACTCAGTGGGGTCTTCCCTAAAGTCTCTCCTGTAATTATTTTTCTTCAAAATCTGAAGCATAGCATTTAATCCTGCACTTAATTATTTTATTTGTTGTATGTCTGTTCATTCCATCAAGGTACACAGAGACAACCAGGCTCACGTCCATATTGTTCACCCGAAACACTTCAGTCAGCATAGTACCCGGTACATGGTAGGTGTCCACAAGTATTTATTGAAGGATAAATGGCTAAATAAACTTGCCGTACATTTAGGGAGCTATGGAGACACATAGTTTAACATTTAAATAATAAAAATATTTTCAAGATATCATTGACCAGAACTAATGCAGAAGTTACTTCTGTTTAGAGACAGAGGTTGACCAGGGAAGGCTCCAGAAAGGAAGGGAGTGCTGTCAGTGTTGATGGATGAAAAAGGTCGTGTTATGTGACTCAAGAAACTGAGAAAATATTTCTCAGCAGAAGAAATGGCATTTGCAAAGGCAAAAAGGTTTAAAACAGTGTGGTTATTCAGGGAACTCACAGTAGTTTCTATTATTAGAGTGTATAGTCTCGTATAGATGATATATTAATGCCATGAATCCCTAAGGACAAAAGCTAAATTATGGAAAGTACTGCAGGAAATATAGAGAAGAGCTAAGAAATCTGAAGTTTAGTTTTGTTTTCATTTATAGCGCTAGGATGATTTGAGAATTTCTATTGCATATTTAGCTCACCTTATAAATTATAGAAGTTCTTAGATAAGTAAATCAATTTTTGAAGAGCTATATTTCAAGCTTCATTACCATAAAGAATCCTCTCAGTTGTGAGTTTGTCATGTAATATTCACAAAATTATAATACATGGGCCATAAGGAAACTATATTGAGACTTATAGTATGTAAAACTAAACTGGGCTTTTCCCTCAAAAGACTTTTTGGGTTTGCATTTTAAGAATCATCTCAAATTTCTCCTTTGGTAATGTATTTTCATTCACTCTTAGATTGTAAAAAGAAACAGGCTAAAACCACTAAATTAACATTTTGGTATTTATATCACACAAATGCAAAGACGAACATATGGAATTTACAGAATATGAAGTCATATTTTGATGTAACTAAGAGTTGAAAGAGTGAGTTAAAACTCATCTCAGCCCTAAATATCTGGAAAGAGAAAATTTTCAAGAACTATCCTTGGAACAGATAATCATAAATGGTTACTTGGAACATAAGGAATGTACATCAGAATTTGCACACTTGTGGACTGCGGGACATGAATGTTTGCTTTGGCTCCCAGAGCACTTCAAAAGTTTGAGCCAAGATTTAAATTTGGAGAATTAACAAAAAAATCCAGAACTATATCCCCTCTTGAAAAATTAGAAGACAGACAAATCTTATAGAAAAAGCCAGAGTCTCCTAGAAGAGGGCAGATGCTGTCTAGTTCACCACAGCGCCACCTCCCCCACCACCCGGGTACTAAGATCCAAGCCACTTTCCTTATGTATGTTACATCTCTGAGATTTTGTGCCAGATCAAAAAGAAAAAAACCCCAAACCATTAAAGACCCCTTGAGAATATGAAAATGTCTAGGAAAATACTTAGAATTTGAACCTTGATAGTACTGAGAATTGAATGTACAGGCTATTTTAACAAAATCATCTAAAAATGTAACAATTCAGACCTTCAATTTTTTCTTTCTCAGATTTTTTTTGGTAAATAAACTATATCAAAACAAACAAAAAGCCGAACAAATCCAGCATAACAATTTTTCCTCCTGACTAGTAAGCTATTCATTTTGATCTTTGGTCAATATACCATAAACAGCACAGCACAATAATCAAAAAACGTGTAAGAAGACCATGTGTTTGATCTGTAGTTTAAATGTAAACACCTCCCTATAACATATCTTTCAATAGAGCAAATATAATTTGTTTTACTTAAATAGATTGAAAGACTTGAAATGTTTTTAATACTCAAATTGTTTTAGATTAGGAGATATAAAGCCAGAAAAGTCATTTCCACGGGAAATGACAGGCACCTACCTTCGCTATCTGGACACACCAGTTAAGTAACAGCTGTGATCCAATGTTATCCTTGTGTTCATGGACGTAATCCAACAGGCAGCCATGGGGCATAAGCTGTGTAACCAGCTGGATAGTTGGGCTCAGACAGACACCCAATAACCGGACTAAGTGTGGATGGTCCATACTTGCCATGATCAGAGCTTCCTATGAGAAAAAAATATAATAGCACCACTTCAACCCAAAGTTTTTTATAAATATAGTTACTTGCACTGAATTAATGGTGCTGATAATGACTTTTAAAATGCACACTCAATGGAATCAATTAAAAGCGAAAAGACATTGTAGCCATCATATTCTTAAAGCAATTTAATTCAAGTGAAATTAAATGAAAAACAGAGTATATATTTAATAAAATGGAAAATGTTAAAGAATAACTGCATATAAAATTAATAATGGGATCTCTTTTATAATGTAGACAATATTAGATTTCATTTACTGCCAAGTAAGTTGAAATTGAATCCTAACTTACACTGGATTTTTAACCTTTGATCTTTGGTTCTAGAGTACAATCATTGATATAAATGCTACTCTGAAAAATCAAGAATTGAGAGTGTAAGCATATTATTTACACATATACAGTTTTGAAAATTAATAAAGGGAATCTTATAACAGAGTCGAGGAGCCATGAAGGGAGCACTCTCTCACACACACCCCTCGTCACAGCCTACTTAACCAGCAGGAAGATGCCGCCCTGCCTCAGCGACAATGTGCTAACCACTGCTTGCAGCCCATGAGAAACCACCACCACCTCAAACTCTTTGTTCTCCTCTAATGAACTTTTCTTCCAATAACTCTCCTTAATTCCCTCCTAAAACCTAAGAAAAGTTGACATTCCCTTAGTCTCTTCAGACATACCTGTGGTTTGCCATAGTCTGCTTGTCCTGAATTTTAATTCCTCTACTGTTCTCAAATAAACTCAAATTTGCTTTGATAATTCATCAATTATTTTATTTTAAGATTGACATTATATGGTGTCAGAGGTGACATCTGAAGGAGACAAACCCTGAGGAGCTAACAACCCCTGGAAACACGTGCGGTACCACTGGAGTCCCTGTGCTCTCCACTTCTGTGGATCATCTCATTCCTTTCAGTTCAGTAAGTCTCCTTTAGGATTTGAGCCCCTCGCCTTATGTTGAGCTCTCCAGATTTATTCAGGATCTGTTTTTGTGATGGCATAACCCTTCCTGGTGAGTACAGCTGTACTCCCTTATCTGTGGTTTTGCTTTCTGTGGCTTCAGTTACCTGTGGCTAACTGCAGTCTAGAAGCAGATGATCCTCCTTCTGACTTATCATCAGAAAGTCAATAGTAACCTAACACTATGTCACAATGCCTATGTCATTCACCTCAGTTCATCTCATCACAGGACATTGTACCATCCAACATCATCACAAGAAGAAGAAGAGTGAGTACAGTAAGCAATTTTGAGAGGGAGAGAGAACATTCACATAAATTTTATTACAGTATATTTTTATAATTGTTCATTTTATCACTAGTTATTGTTAATCTCTTATTGTGCTTCATTTATAAATTAAACTTTGTCATAGGTATGCATATGTAGGAAAAAACATAGTATATATAGGGTTCAGTACTATCTGTGGTTTCAGACATCCACTGGAGGTCTTGTAACTATCCTCCGTGGATAAGGGGGGACTACTGTACTCTTGTTTTCTAATCTCCAATTGTTTAGTTATGGGATCCCAATCCTCCAAGCCCTCTCAAGAGATGCCCTCTCAGATGCCAGCTGGTGTCATGTTCAAAAATTATGATCCCTGCTCATGCGAATTCTTAACTAGATGGGCCAACCTAACCAAAGGTAACGTAGAGCTTTAGTTGATCTCCCCAACCTGTTTTTTCTCAGAACTGAGAAGACCATGGCTCTAGGATTAAAAAAAGTGCATGGGATGCCTGTTTTAATTGATATCTTTAATTGATATCATCAGTAGGCTCTTCTCCATCTCACCCCCAAGGCTTACTTCTTTTCCTGTGGCACCCACATCACCTCTTCTATACTCTCCTCTTACCCGTTCCAATCCTCCCACTGAAGTTCCCTTTTTCTCAGAACCTCTTCCCCTTCCCACTTCCTCTTTGATCAAATCCATTGAAATCTGCCCTTTTAAAATCAGACTCCCCAAGGACCCTAACTCTAAGCATCCAATTTCTTATGTTCCTTGGACTAAAGCTAAACTCTAAGCCATAGTAAAAGAATTTTGGAAAGTTACAGAGGATCCCCAAAGATTTGCTAAGGAATTTAAAATGGTTGTCTAGACCTACCAACCTGATTTCTCAGAATTATATCAACTAGTCCATATGCTTGTTAGTGAGGGCCAAGCCCAGCACTCAATGAAAACTGTCAACTGTAATGATCCTGAAAGATCTCTAGAATTGCAGATGCGGGACAAACCCCTTGCCCTATTATATGACGGGGCTTGTGGAATTGCTCACCAACTCCAACAGGCAATTCCCAGCACTTTCTCAAAACCTGTTGATTGGAATAAGACCCAAGTTTTCACTCAGAAACCAAATTAACCTGTGCATGGTTATTACAGTTGACTTCAAATTGTGTTCAAGAAAAATTCTAGTCTTCCTATGGACGTGGCATCCACTTGGTTGGCCTTCAAACCACACCTCAGATGATTCCACTAAAGTCGTTAATCTCCAACTTCAAAAGATGGAGGCCCCTAAGCAAAATCCTCCCAGTCTTTGTCATTATTGTAAGAAGCCAGGACAATAGAAGAAAAACTACTGTAAATTAAAATGCTCCAGGTGTCTTCAGTCACCCAACCAAACCTTCCAATGCCTTTCCAGTTCCCAATGATGAGACTCCAAGGAATCATAAGGACTTTTCCCAATCTTTCCTCTTAACTGGTTTGGAGAAACAACTCTCCAGATTGGGAACGAATTTCTCTCCATTCTTATTGATACTGGAGCTACACTCTCAGTGCTCAACTACACTGCTGTTTAACAGCCTTTGCCTCAAGATACTAAAACAGTTCACGTAGTGAGGATCACTAATAAACGTCAACAAGTCCCTATTTATAAACCTATTTTCTTTTGTCTGGGCCCTCTGAGGGATACCTATTCTTTCCTACTCAGTGTCTCTGCCCTCGGCCACTTACTGGGCCAAGACTTAGAAAAATATCATGCAGGAATTTCTTTCTCCCAAAAGGGGGAAACAATTTTAGAATTTGATGACAACAACCAAAATAACTGGTCCAATGAACTGGATATATCTTCTTCAACATCCTTTATTTGCACTGTTTCTGACAATATCAAAGCGGATGCCAAAGATTCTAGTCATTTTCCCCTGATGAATCAATTAGCACCATCCCTATGGGCAAAATCATCAACAGATGTTAGTAGAATTCACAGTGCTCCTCTTATCAAGATCTAAATTGATCCCTTAAAACTTCTCCCCAGAATTAATCAATACCCCATAAATGAGGAAGCCCTGCAGGGAATCAAGCCAACCATAGAAGCTTATAAGGTCCAAAGCCTTGTTATTCCTTGCACTAGTCCATGTAACACCCATCCCTGTTTTACCTGTAAAGAAACCCAATGGCAATGGACAGAGGTTTGTTCAAGACCTTTGGCCATAAATAACATAGTCATCCCTCATCACCCAGTTGTTCCAAACCCTCTTACTTTGTTGGCTTCCATCTCTACCGAAAGCAAATTTTTCACTATGATTTACGTGTGCAGTGCTTTCTTGAGTATTCGCTTGGGAAGGACAACAACATACCTGGACGGTCATGCATCAAAGCTTTACCAAAAGTCCTTCTTATTTCTCATAAGTTTTAAAGGCTGTTATAGATGATATAGAATTTTCTGGAGGTTTCACTTTATTACAATTTGTGGACAACTGACTTCTCTTCTCCCCTTCCTACACCTCCTTACAAGAAGACAGTACCCACCTGTTAAAAGTTTTAGCATCAAAATGACACAAAGTCTCTAAGGAAAAGTTGCAATTCATCCAAACTCAGGTTTTATATTTAGGACTCTGATCTTGGAACAAAGGCTATATTTAGATCCAGATAGGCTTCATGGCATCTCCAATTTTCCAAAACCCAGAACTAAGCACCAATTACAGTGCTTTCTCAGGCTAGCTGGGTACTGTTGAAATTGGATTCCAAACTTTTCTTTTATGGCCCATCCCCTATATTCTTTACTAATAAATAACAAACCTGACCCTACTGTTTGGAAAGATCAGGATGATGTAGTCTTTAAAGCCTTAAAGGAAAACTCAATAAATCCCCCGCCTTTGGACATCCCAATTATCAATTTCCCTTTTTTCCTTCATATATGAAAAATAAGGAAAGGGACTCGGAGTTCTCACCCAAAAACACAGGGGCCACCATCACCCCATAGAACATTATAGCCAACAGCTAGACCCTGTGGGACAGAGAATACCTTCCTTGTCTCAGAGCCATTCCTGCCGCTGTTGTTTTGGTTAAGGCCACCAAAAGACGTAGTCATGGGATTCCCCTAACTATTCTTGCACCCCTAACTATTCTAAACCCTTCTAAATTCTCATCATACACAACACAGTTCAGCTAGTCACCTCACCTCCAATGAAATCCTCTTGCTAATAGCTCCTCATATAAACCTTTCTCGCTGCAATAACGTTAACTCTGTCACCAAGACTCCTCGTGACTATTTGACTCTGACACATCACCTTCTAACTCGTCACAATGATTTACAGGAAACTCCCTTAACCAATGTTGTTTTCTTGTGGTTTACCTATGGTTCTTATTTAAAGAATGAAAAGGGTAAATTCTGTGCTGGTATGCGATTCCAACTCCTTTTGAAATCATTAAGGTGACACTTTTGCCTTTGGCTGCTTAAGCCCAACATGCTGAATTATATGCTTTCACTCGAGTTTGTATCCTGGCTAATGGATATACCCACAGCCACTATGCCTCTGGAGTAGCCCACGATTTTGGAATGCTATGGAAACCGAGAGGCTTCCTTACCTCTAACGGAGATACAACTAAAAATGGCTCTCATGTCTAAACTTTTCTAGATGCCATACTTCTATCAGCAGCTTTGGCTATCATCAAGTTCCCTGGACATTCCACACTTCATTCTCTGGAGGCTAAAGGAAACCACTTCACTGATATTTCCACTAAAAATGCTGCTCTCAAGG